ATCTGAAGATGAGCAACAGCAGTCAACATGGAAATGTATAGAGAAGGAAAGGAATATTTGATATTTGGTGGCTGTGACTTTTCAATGTTTATTGCCTTATACCTACCAGAGGTGGAAATAAGAAAGACATTTTATAAAGGAGACTCTGAGAAGCTAGAATAAAAGATGAAAACCACAGAGCAGGCTTAAAGATCTTGGAAAATACCTCGGACTTAGAGTACTGAGTAAATGCTGGAACTGACTGATTTAAATAATTGTTGTGGCCCGCTAGTGGCCTGCGGAGCTGGCAGCAGAGTCGGAGAGTGGGAAGGAACATGAGCCAGTTCTGGAGTCTGGGGTGGGCTCGGACAAGGGATCTGCATCCAACACAGAGATGGGTCCAGGGCAATCTGAGAGTTATGTGCTGACTCCAGAATGTGATATCAACAAGGCAGAGGAACAGGGGGAGCCTGATCCCAGTGCACACTTGCGCAGAGCTGCCAGAAGGCAAGAACAGTTAAGACAAAAGGGGCAACTTGGAAGTAAGTCTTGGAGATGATTGGCTCCTCCCATAAGACATAAAAGAGGAGCAAATGGACATGAGCCTTTGCAGGAAGCAACTTTGTTTGTTTTGGTCAGTTTAAAATCTGAAACTCCTTGTTGACCTTGTGCTCTGTTTGACCTTGTACAGCTAATTGGCAATGTAGTCAGTGGCAGCATTTCAAGGGAGATAGAGGTGGGTGCTTATCAGCCTTATCCCGAAAGATTGTGGCAGACTTCTGTTGGACTATTCATAAACTGTTTGGGACTCATTATGGGCTGTGAATGCATATAATTCACAGCCATTGAAATAAAAAAAAGGTTTTTGGAAACAGCATGTGATTGTTACTGTCTCATGAAGTCTTGGTCAGAACAATAATTGACTTTGTTTTTAAAGGAATGGATTTTGAAGTTCACTGGGGCTTCTCGCATACATTTTTAAGTCATCCATGTGAGATTTGATATGCCAGTTTTGTGTTTCATAGGATTATTGTCAGTGGATTTAATGCAATGTTGAACAGTAATGGCGAAAGTGAGTCCTCTTGGAAGATTCCTCGTCTAATGTTGACTTCACCATTTGCTGTTAGAACTCTTTTCCATTTTTGCATATTTGCTTTCAAAAATGTGCAAATATTTTTGCTGATTCCAAAGTTTTCCAGACAGGCGTTAATCCAGCTGTTGGATAATGAGTCAAATGCCTTCTTATAATCAATCCAAGCCATATTTAAATTCATTTTTCTTCGTTTTGCATTTTTTAGTGCCATTTTGTCAATGAGCAACTGGTCTTTTGTTCCTCTTGATTTTTTATAATTTTCTTTTTGTTCTACTGGATACAAACTGTTTTCCATCAGATGATTGAATTTGCCAGTATTCTAGTAAAAAATTTGAACGTTGTTATTATTGATATTTTTGATATTTTTATACATTTTAATATTTATATTGTAGAAGTTTTCTTCTTGATTATCATATGGCTATTGTTAATTGCACTAAACGTGCCAAGAGGAAGGTACTTGTTCATCCACAAAATAGCTGTACAGAACAAAAATACCAGGAGGAATATAAAACTGGTAGTGCCAGGGGATGATGGACACATTGGTATCTACCACACACTATTGGAGTTTCCAATTATTATAGTCTTTGTGGATTTAAAACTATTTAGGAAATAATTTTAAAATGTTGTATTAAGTCCATTTCATTGCCTATCCTCTGAGTTCTATGAAACATGTATAATTCAAAATTGAAATGTTTATTTGTGGTATCTGAGAATAAGAAATCCAAACCAGCTAACAGAACAACAAGGAAAGAAAACAGGTGGAAGAGATAGAAGAGAGAGGAAAAAATTGCTCATGGATTGCTACCACTATTTCCAGATTGCTGCTGATTTCCCATTGTGTGTATCTTGGAGCATTGTTCCCTCCTAATTTGAGAAAGCTTAAGGGAATGTACAAGGAAAATACCTGTTAGTCTGGAGGAGTATTAGAGAATACTTCTATGGAGAGATTCAAGGATTTATATTGATTAGTTGGTTGGTGGTCATTCATCTGAGGAATTTGAGAGATGGAGGGAACTATTCTTATGACCTGCAGGGAATATAACATGTTCTTCTTTGGCCTTGAAAATAATCACACCTTGGTTGCACCTTGGTTACCCTTCTGAAAGGGAAGGTGAAGAGACTAAGCAAACTGTCCATTCCTGAAGAAGGCTGAAGAAGGAAGGGAGGGAGGGAGGAAGGAAGAAAATTAAAAAGAAAACAGTTAAAAAAATAGTCCAGTGCCAAAGGTACTGGCAGGGGTACACAAAGCATAGAAACAACTAATATACATACAGAAAGAAATGGGCCAAATTATGTGGCCCTCGAGTTCCAGAATCTTTGTACGAATGTGAAGAAAATAGAGAACAAACAAAAAGAAGTTGTAATGCAGGAAGGTGAATATGATTTTGTAGACATTACTGAAATATGATGACTTCCTTGCTTCAGACTTTTCTCCAAATAAGAACTGTTAAATGGATTTCATCAGAACAAGAATTAACCCAAGGCAGGAGTGGCAACCAAAGATAAAGGAAGTGAAGATAAGGAAAACAAAGGAAAGCTGAAATAAGACCATAAGCACAGTTATGGCTTTACGTAATGACTGAGTTGCTGGTCTCAATTGGGGTTCTTAAACAAGGACTACTTGTAATAAGCTGTGTCTAGATCAAAAGAAATATGATCACAATTGAGCCAAAAATTTCTGCTGCTTAACAACAGAAGAACATTGCAGTGTTCTTCTCCTCCTGAAAGACTTTCAAGGCAGAGCTGCAGTTTGTTTGCTGTAGTTTAAAGTACAAAAACCTGAATCGTTTAACTCAGGGGTGTCCAACCTTGGCAACTTTAAGACTTGTGGACTTCAACTCCCAGAATTCCTCAGCCAGCAAAGCTGGCTGAGGAATTCTGGGAGTTGAAGTCCACAAGCCTTAAAGTTGCCAAGGTTGGACACCCCTGGTTTAACTTTTCAGCGGCCTGACTTTAAAAATGACAGGTGGGGGAGGAGAAAGGATAATTAAAATACAACAAGATGTGTGGATTCTAAAGAAACAAACACTTGCTGTATGGGGTGGCTTTTTGAGGTTTTTTTTTTTTCCTGGCCAGGTGAAGAGCCATATGGGGGAGTGAGGGAGACATCAACAGTTTTTACAGGCAATGGAATCATAAGAGATTCCAGTCAGAATTCAGGGTTTGGAGAGTTATGATGATGTTCCAGAAGATGACATAACTGTATTTGAAAAAATTGTGCCTGTATTTGAATAAATTGTGGATTTTAAATAAATTGATTTATTTATTTATAATAAAATGGTGGTTTTTTAATAAATTGGGAGGTTGCTTTGTGGTTCCCCTGTGGGAGGCTGGGATTTGGCATGCAGTTGGTCATCATCAGGGTTGTTTATCATTAAGATCTGTTTTGTGATCAAATAGGGGGCAGGCAGGGGTGCAGAAAAAAAAAGGAAGGGAAGAGAAGCTACAAGGGTTTGAAACAAGATGTAAAGAAACAGGATTTATTTAGAGATAATGGGTAAAAATATAACTGAAAAAGATTCTGCAAAGGTACATATAGACTGTATTGTTGTATTTGTATTAGAAATAATGTTAGAAAATTGGAACAACATATGATTATAAAATGGGATAAAATATTCAATGTAATTTAGTGAAACTTTTTCTTTTTTGAACAAAACAAATGAAATATGAGAGAATTGAATTAAAAAGGAATGGGAACATTTTAATTACATAATGTTTTAAAATATAAGTGAAATGGGGGGGAAGTAACTACATAAAATTTATAAGGGTTCCCATAGAAGCATGATACTTATTTGAAAAGGAATGTGTAAAATGTTTAAGATTTAAATGAATATTAATTTTAACGATAGAGTTTAATTGGAATGGATTGTTGTTTTAATTATATTATATATTTATAATTTTTTCTTTTTTAAAAATATAGTGTGTAGCTTTAGAATGTACTAAGCAGAATCAGAATGAAAATTATATATTATTTTAAGTGTTAAATTTAGGGGAAAGATAAAGGCATCATACTTCAATCAGTGATAACAGAAGAAATTTTGTGTTAATGAGAAAAGATAATAGATAATTGAAATAGAACAGACAAAAGATACAAGCATAATGATTTAAATCGAGATGAAAGAAACAAAATAGAATTAAGAGAGTGAAAAGAGGGGAGAAGCTATACAGAAAATGTAGAATGGTAAATAAGATATGAAATGGTATATAAAGTGAGCATGAATTTGATTTATGTCTGTACAAAAAGATGTAACCCGGGTCTAAGCTGCTTTCCAAAAAGAAGTTTTATGTTTTCATGTTTTGTGTTTTGTTTGTGTATGTTCGTTTACTGAAAATTAATAAAAAAATTATTTTTTAAAAAAAGAGGCGATCACATGACCCCGGGACATTGCAACCGTCATAAATATGAGTCAGTTACCAAGTGTCTGAATTTTGATCAGGGATGCTACAATGGTTGTAAGTGTAAAAATGATCATAAGTCACTTTTTTTTTAGTGGTGCTGTAACTTTGAACTGTCACTAAATGAACTGTTGTAAGTTGACTGCCTGTACTGTTTCTGATTAATAAATCAGATTAAAAGGCAAACGTTTTGTAGAGCTCAAATTGGGGTGAGATGAGGGAGGAAAGAGAAAGGAAGATGAGTTGGTTATGATTACAGCTACCTTATCAATTAACAATTATGTATTAAAATGGTCTTTCTTGATAGCTTCTGAGATTGCCTGAAACCCTACGACAAAGGGATAGCATCCTCCTCCTCCTCCTCCTCCTCCTCCCCCCCCTCCCTTCTCCTCCTCCTTTTTCTTTTTCTTCTTCACCTTGCTGGTGCTCTTCCCCCTCCTTCTTCCTTTATAATGTGCATATCCGTAAATGTTTATGGTAAGTTCCCCTTCAGTGCCATTGTTTTGATCCTTGCATTTCCTGATCTTTTTAGGGCCTTTTCAATGGTTTTTCCATCCCAGCAGAAAACATGACAGACGGGTGGGTGGATTGTCCCTCCTTGGGCCCTGGCTGGAAGCGTCGTGAAGTCTTGCGCAAAAGTGGAACAAGGAGCGGCCATTCAGACACTTATTATATAAGGTAATTCTGTTTGGGATCATATTGGGAAAAGGATGCTGGTATCAATTTCTTATCCCTAGGCAAATGCGTTCAATAGTTCCCAAAACTTATTTGGCAACCTTTGAAGATAAGAAGCATTCTGGAACTCAATTTATTCAGAGCAACAATTGTCATCTGGTCTATTTACAAACATTTGTTTACTCCATTCAGTGAAATACTTGTCAGTTTTTACTATGAACTGTTACTCTTGCTTGTTTTTTCTATTTCGTCTAAGCACATATATGTGAGATTTTCAGAAATTCTACAAGCAGTTAATTGGAACAAACAATATTGCATCAGCAAACTTAAACTCCTGTACCTTTTTGACTTAGAATGTGCTAGATTACCTCCTGATTGTTTCCCTACTCTGTATGACAAATATGCTTACCTGTAGAATTGTTGTAATGATTATTGGGAGATTGCATGTAAATATTCTACAAAAGTTCCATTATAATTACCAAAATTATATGCCATATCTGCAGAGAGCATGTTAAAGACAGAAGTATAACACTTTTTAAAAATAATTTTATTAAAAGATATAATTGCAATAGTAAAGGTTAATGCAAACTAAAAGAAGAGTAGAAAAAATGTAAAAAGTATAAAGAAAAAAAAGAATAGAAAGAAAAAAAGAAAAGTAAGACTATAGTGAAGAAGAAAATAACTATACAGAATTCCAACCTTTATCTTAAGTATAAAAACCTATAAGCAAATAAAGCATTGTCTTGCCAGTTGTGTTGTCAGCAACAGTTCATTAAATATTGCCAAAAATAACATGTCTATGTTAATTTTAATCAAATAAAACAATGTTATGTTTCTTCCTTTTATTTCTAACAACAGTAATCTTTAGTCCATTCAAAGTATGTCAAAGAACTTGATTTAATTTGATTATTTTTACCCCAGGATTCATCCCAGCTTTAATAAACCCTTTTTTGTAAATCCAATGTAAAAGAATTATCCAGTTCATTCACTTAGTTTTTTATAATTGTCTTTTGATTTTAAAAAAATCAACTGATTTCTTTTGTATGTCTGAACAAACATCTTTTTCCATGTCATTCAGGTAGCCTGTAATCTGTAGATGCCATTTTACTGCTCACCTAATCACTGTCTTGTCAGATAAAACTTTTTTTTCCCCAAAACATCTTTTGGACATACAATAGAAGCCAACATAGTTTTTGACATTGTTGATATTAACTTTTCAAAAGTATCCTTCAGTATTTCCAATATTATAATATTTTGCATCTTTCAGTAGCTGTTAGTCAGGTTTATGTATTCTTTAATTAAAATCTTCTGTTCCCTCTAGTTTCCAAGTTTTAAAATTGTTTATCTTCTTTATATCTTAGAAAAATTTCAAAAAGTACACTTTCCCAGGAAAGGATTTATTTATTTATTTTAAAATAATAACAGAAAAAAAAAAAAACACAACATTAATCGTCACCATCACCAAAGAAAAAATGCAGGATAAATGCTTTTTAAAAGGTGAAAAAATACAACAAAAAAGAAAAAAGGAAACAAAACATAATGTATTGTTATAATGATCAACAGTTTTGATTTATACATAGTTACATAATGCAAATATGCAAGTATGCATTCATTTCCTTCTAGTACACATTAAAGATTAAAGGCAGATTCACTTGGTGTTTTCAGACTTCAATCCAAAAGTTTCTAATAGGTGAAAAATAGTTAATAAGCGATTTCCTAGGGTGATTAGAAAAAGAATTAAACAAACTTAGTCTCCTTTTAAAAGTGCTGGACCATGGTTTGAGCAATATGGATATTCTCTCATCTCTCAGTGCTCAAAACCTGCCAGAGACCACTGTTTTGCAGTCTCCTTGGGAGGAGCAACTGTCTGGATCTCTTGTGGGTGATTTCTCATCCTCTGCTTGCCTAAAGAATTTCAAATACCCGGTCTACTCACCAGGTCTTCGTTGCTCACCACAGTCCATTTTCCATGGAGCCATCTTAAGTCTGCTATTTCTTCCTCTGGAAGTCCACATAGAACATAATTAAGAATACATTGATTTGCCTAGTGATTAATTTATCCTGCTTGTCAGCATTTGATGATACAGCCTAGGTCAGCGGTGGGCAACTATGGCCCTTTTATGAATTATGGACTTCAACTCCCAGAATTCCTGAGCAAGCCATGCTAGCTCAGGAATTTTGGGAGTTGAAGTCCACAAGTCATAAAGGGGCCATAGTTGCCCACCTCTGGCCTAGGTTCTCCTACTAGAGAGTCAAAATGTTGGTGGAAAAAAAATTTGCAATTTGCAAATCAACTCTCTTCTACCTTTATGTCCATCATCACCACTGAGAAAAATAACCAGTTAATATTAGCCAAACATAAGCTGAATTTAATTGAACAAGATAAAATAGAAGTTAGCTTGAGAAGGTCCAAACAAAATTATTTTGAACACGCCAATAAACCAGGAAGATAGCTATCTTATAAACTTAAAAAAGAAAAAGAAAAGAGACTGATACACCAACTAATAGACGAGAAAGGCATACCACAACATGAGATTGAGAAGAAAAAAGATATTATATTAAACTATTTTCAAAGATTATATAAAAAAGAAGAAATCAATGAAGACAAAATAAGAACTTATCTGGAGAATACGAATGATAAAACAATAGGGGAAGGAGAGAAAGAATTATTAAATAAGGATATTACATGGTCTGAGTTGAAATCTGCAATGGAGAATCAAAGTAATAATAAATCCCCTGATCCAGACGGGATTCCAGTAGAATTGTACAAAGCCACAATAGAGTTAGTAGGGCCACTGATGCTGGAAGTGTTTAACGAAGTACTTTTGGCAGCCAAAATGCCAGACTCATGGAGGGGGGCGTTGATTTCGTTAATTCCGAAGGAGGATGTAGATGCCAGATATATCAACAATTATAGACCAATCTCAGTTTTAAACCCTGATTATAAATTATTTACCTCAATTATAGTGAATAGAGTAAAACAAGTTTTAAATGTATACATTCATGAAGACCAAAATGGTTTCCTTCCATCCCGCCAAATCAAAAATAATCTAAGAACCGTTATTGACGTCTTAGAATATTATGAAGTTCATCCAGAGAAACAATTTGCACTCATGTTCTTAGATGCGGAGAAAGCATTTGATAATCTACATTGGCACTTTTTAATACAAAAAATCTATAACATGAGTCTGGGCACTAAATTCGAGAACATTATCACAACAATTTACAATACCCAACAGGCCAATATACTAATTAATGGTGAACAAACAGGCCCATTAAACTTTTAAGTTTATCTTGACTCCTGAACATTTTATGAACATGTGAAGCTCTCTAGAAACAGTAGAACCTCCAGTCACAAATGCTTCTGACCATGACCAACTTGGGTTCCGATCAAAAAATTCACGAAATTTTTGAATCTTGGGTGGCGATCAGACACGACCCCTGACCCAGAAATTCCTGAAGACGAAGAAATTGCCAAAGTTATAGAATGAATTATGGTTGTGACAAGAGGGTCTACTATATGGGGTTACCTTCTAACCTCCCAGTCTAATCTCTATCCATTGTACTTTTTGATCTCCCATCCTATACCATCAACCAACCCAACTCAGCTTCTGAGCCGAGATGAGGTCAGCCAGATATAATTGGGTATGAAAACTAAATAAGAGATTTCCAGCCAGGGATTGATTTGCCAAGGTGGGGTGGGTGGAAGTGCAGAAGAGGTAGGCATAGAGAGAGTCTACAATTTTGGTGGGGGGGGTTCCCCCTATATCTTCTGTGCTAAAGATTTTTTTTTAACAAATTTTATTCAGTTTTTCACATTAAAAACAAAAATCTCTTTTTAATGGACAACATATTTCCGGGTCATCACCTTTACGTACAAATATGACAGCAGTTATACATTCATATATGCATACTTAATTCTATTATTACCTTTTCCATTCCAAATTTTCAGTAAGGAGAGAAACAAACACATTAATTCTAGCCTCTTTCATTAATCTCAATCAAAACATCTTTTTGTTTCATTTCAATTATTTCAAATATAATCCTTTAATATTTATTTTAAAAATAAAGATAAACAATATGTATTTGCCTAATAATAATGATAATAATAATAAAAAGTTACCAATGTCTCTCCTTGCTTTTAATAGTCTATATTAACTTATTAATTTAGTTGGTTCTTTAGTGTGTCATATTCCCTTTCCATTCCATATTCTTTTTATAAATTCTAGATTAATACAAATTTTAACACTAAAAAAAAGGAACAAGTATAGGTTTCCCCCCTTTTACTGTTTTGAGTGTGACACCTCAATGATTAAAATATACCTTTATTCCCTCATCTTAATTCCCAGTAAACCATTATTTTTAAGAAGTTACAATAATAATCATTATATCTTTTCACTTGGATTCCACAGCATATTTCCCCCCCTTGAATTTTAATAAGAGTTATCAGTATCAAGCCCAGGAGGGGAGATGCGGCTCCTTTCAACCTGGCTTGCGGCTTCCCCTTACTCCACTGCCCCTCCAAGGCAGCTTCAGCCCCTAATCGTAATGATCGGGGTTCTCCAACGAAAAGCACGGACCATAGCCGCAGAGAGATGCGATCTACGGTCTTTCAGCGACGAGGCTCCGCCTTCTTCCTCCTGTGTTAAAGATTCTTAAAGGCTGTGAGGATAGGAGATGTTTTTTGAAAATCAAATGAATTCTGAAAACACATTAAGTTAGATGCTCCGACTATTATGTCGCTGGGAACAATAAGACAGAACTCTTGGTTACTGTTGCTAATACATTAGGTGACCTGCTTCCCATACAGCCTGAAATTACATATACTAAGAAAGAACTTGGTTCATTTTTAGCATCCACGTTGGTCTTGTAATGGAATAAGGAGGCAGCAGCAGAAAATGGAAAGGTGGTGCCTTGCATTTTATATAAGGTGATGCTCTTATTTTCATTGATTTTGTTTTCTGAAAGTTTCTAACAATAGCTTCACTTTCTCTCACAGCCCGAGAGGAGAGAAGATCCGCAGCAGAGTGGAGCTGTTGAGATTGCTGGGATGCTCACGGGATCTGACTGATTTTGATTACAAGAGAGGAATTTTTGTTGAACCAAACACAGAGGTATTATTATAGGTAACACTGGCTGTGATAGCTTAATTGGTTGCTGTGAATTCTGTTCCTAGTCATATTGCAAAGGTTTTGTGTTGATGCCCGCTTCCAATTAATCCCAGCTTTTAAAGTATTTTTGGTTGTTCATTTTTCCAAAGTAGATTTCTTTATGTTTATTTTGTTTATTTCCAGCCCTTCCTTTATTTTATCGTCATAAAATAAAATAATTGTCTCACTTTATTTTGTGAGACAATTTAATCTGAGATATACAGATAATTCTCAATTTAGGATTACATTTGGACCTTCCTAAACTAGGAATAAATAACTAGACTATAATGCCTAGTAGCAGTACTAGTAGTGTATTAAGTATTAAGTTTAACTGCCTCTTATCTCCTCCTTGCAGGCCCTGCCCTCAGCACCCTTCTCACCTACTGAAGACAGTCCTCAGAGGGTGAGTGTACACATATTTTTAGTCTCCCAAAAAACTAGGGAAGATCCTTTTTGAGACGCTTTCACCGCTCTTCCTCCTCAAATTTCAGTTTATCAAGCCATTGTCTAGGCCACAGGTGAAACTCATGGCGTCAAGTTATCATGTTACGTATTGCGATGTTTTTTCCCTTCATGGAGCTGGAGTGGCCGTGGCCTGTGTTTGACACATTTGGCCTGTGGGCCACCAGTTTGACACCCCAGGTCTAGGCTCCTATCTACCAAGGTCATTCCCACATATAGTTACAAATGGAAATCCATGTGATTAAAAGTACCATAAGGTAACTGTTTACCACTCTTTCCATGCAAAGGGAAGATTCTAATCCTTGGTTTTTTAAGTTGTACCCTACAATGTTTTGTTTTAGTGTTTGAATGAGAAAGCACTTAACAGGTACCCTTTGCCTGGGTGAAGCAATGTAAAAGCAGATGGACTGGACAGATTATGGATTGGCTTGTACAATTGATTAATTTCCCTGAATTTTAGTCCTTGGTAAAACATTTTCATGGATGGAAGGATTTGGTTACTAATTGATATATAGGAATTCTGTCTTTTTGGTTCAGAAATGGCACTTGGGTGAAAGTGAAGCATGGATCTTATATAGCCATTAACCCTGAAGTAAGCTTTTATTTGTAGACAAGAGTCTACCTGTCATAGGGCTGAGACCACATTCTGTTTCTTCTCCAACAGATCAAAAAGAGCAGCAAAAAGCACCTACTGCATCTGGGAGCAACCACCTTACCATGCAAGAAACCACCTTATTTGCAGGTGTTTCTAGAGCCTCAGCCTTCTCCGGAACACAGGCTTCTGGACCAGAAACCTTCAGAGCTGGAATTAGAGTTTCTGGGAGAGAACCAAGCCAATATGCAGAGTCAACACTCAGAGCTTCCTGTTACTCTGGATCAACTGGCACCAAAGCTGCGCAAACAACGTTGTCGGCAGCATCTTCCACCCATTCCTTCTCCAGATAAAGTAGAAGATGTGACATTGCAGGAGAGCAATCCAAAGGAAGCTATGGCGTGAGCAGTTCCCTTGTCCTATTACCAGCAGATCGTTGCCAGTTGATTGTTTTTCTTCTTCTTAAATTTACTCACAAAAAATCATAAATTCAAATATAGATTTTAATAGAGTGAGCTATTGCACTTTTCCAAAATCGGATAATGTGACTCCATTCTAGCTAAGGCATTACTAGCCAAATGCTAAGGCAGGGGTGTCAAACTTGTGTCATCATGGTGTATCTTGACTTTCCCCCCTTCGCTAAACTAGGCTTGGGCGTGGCCAGTGTGTGACGCATCCGGTCTGTGGGCCACGAGTTTGACAGCCCTGTTCTGAGGGAAAGAGTTCTCCTCTCTTTTACCCAAAAATAGCTCTGTTGCAGGTTAAAACAAACTGAAATTGAATTTAAACACTTACAAAACCATATTTGGAAAGCCAATAATTTGATCAGAACTGACATTTCTACATCAGGGCTTAAAAAAATAATTCTTACCAGGTTTATATGAAGTAACGGTGACCACAGAGTTACCGGGTTACCACAGTTGGGATTGGAATTTCCATCATTCAGCAATGAAGTCATAAAGCACAATGTCACATGACCATATCACTTGATTAATAGCAGTCCTAAAGTCTCAGTTGCCATTGTGGTCTCAGGACCATGCAGTTCATTAACTGAGGCTCTCATGTGACCATGATATGGGAAAAGGGGGGAATCCCAGGGCAAACAGGCCAATTGGCAAGAGTTCCAGGTGACAGCCACAGGCAGTTGGATGGATGCTCCAAGCAGGCACAACGGAGTACGGCAGGTGGGTGCCAGCAGCAGCTGCTGTGTATGAACGGGTGGGCAGTTGCTGTTGGCAAGCACTATGGAGTGTGGATGTGTGTACGGGTGCCACAGGCAAGTGCTTTGGAGCATGGCGGTTGTGGGTCAACGCTAGGGTGTGCTGGCGAGTAGGTGCCATGAGCGGGCAGATAGGTGAAAAAAATAGCAGGAATTATTTACAAGTCTCCTTGGCTTCCCCATTGACTTTGCTTATGGCAGGGGTCTCAAACTCAATTTACCTGGGGGCCGCTGGAGGCAGAGTCTGGGTAAGGCTGGGCCGCATAAGGGATTCCACAAAAAACGTTGTTAAAAAAATATCCTCAAATGTTATACTTTCATATCACGGTGGGGGCCACAGGATATCGTCCTGCGGGCCGCAATTGGCCCGTGGGCCGCGAGAATGTGACCTCTGGCTTATGGGAAGCTGGCAGGGAAGGAAACAAATGGCATTCATGTGACTACGATACACTGCTGCTGCAACCATCATAATTGTGAGCTTCTTGCTAAGTGTCTGAATTGCTCCCCTTTGACCTCTTTGCATCCCCTTGCTGGGATGGCTTGAATTTTGCAGGCAGGTGATAAGTTCCCCCTTGTTTAGTACCATTGTAACTTTGAACAATAGCTAAACAAGAGATTAAAGCCTGAGGCAAGAAGGCATAAGCTGCCTTATTTCAAATAGCTCACGTGGTTTCTGCATGAATGCCATTTTTTCCTGATCAAATTATTCGTAATTAATTCCCTGTGGGTGACAGATAAAATGATATAATGCTGTCTTCATTCCCAAATAGTGCAAGTTTTGTTTTTTTTAAAAAATGAGGAATACATTCTTTCGTTAGATTAATGTTGGCAAAAGCATATTCCATGCACTTTGAGATTCCTGTACCTCGTTTCTCATCATTTTTAAATGATTTCTATTGCTTTTTGTAGGGCTGCTATTTAGGAAACAAATTACAAATTGATAACTTTATTGGTCTTTTCTAACTGTGGCATTAACTCCAGACATAAAGTAATAGAATACAGGAGGGTATATTAAGACTAAATTATATCATACATTTGAATAGGATGAAGGCAGAAAGAATACAGTTTAGGCAAGGAATGTTGTGACTAAGAGAAGATCAGTGTTCGAGTCAGATAATCTCCAATAATTAGTCAGTTCTCTAGATATGTGAGTTTTAAAAACAGACAACTTGATTTTCACTCAGATAGGACACCCATAGACCTTTGAAGTTTGGAAGCTTTTTTCAGCTAGAAACTTTGAATCCTATTTCAGTGGCCTGTCACACTCTTGTTATATGTGTGACTATGCACACTTTTGAACAAATTCAGAACATAAACCTCAGCGTTCAAGGTTTAGTGTGTAATGTCTTTTGATAGCATGAAATGTTCATAACTTACTGCAGATACTCAGAAAGATACCCTCCATCCTAAGCTAAGCCATGTTCCCCCTGACCTGAATATCTTCAGTGAATTGTGCTGTTTAGCCAGTAATAGCCTGATAATTATGACAAAGCAAATCAAACATTGGATAAAAATATTGCCAAGTTAAATCATTGGCACCACATGATTTCTATGTTATTACTATTGGTGATAATACAGCCAATTATGGCTATATAGTGGAAATCTTTGGAGAGCAGTTTTGAAAATCTCTTGGAATGATAAAGCAGGTTGCAATAAGCAACTGAGTAAAAAAGAATTACAATATGGGTGAAAAGGAATAATTCTGTCCATCTCTTCTTCCAGGTGCTGTGCCAGCTGTCAGGGACAGTTCCCAGAAATAATGCTACCATCTCAGAGACGTTGTCGGTGGCTCTGCCCAGACTGCAGAGGTTGGTATTTCAAGTGATAAGGTGACAATGCAAGGATTTGTTTTATTGATGCTGTGCTGGAATGGTAGATTATTTATTTATGTTCCACTAAAGCAATTAAAGGATTAACTGTCCATTCTCTCAGTAGGAAGTGTGGAGGGGGAAAAGCTAGAAGTAGTTGTTGAGAAGGTGGGTAGGAATATTACAATGGTAACAGGCAGAGGAAGGTATGGTGGGAATCTGGAGGCGGGCCATACCTGCGGAATACCAGACCCAGTATTTGAAAGTGTACTCACTGTCTGGCCTTTGTTTCTACTCATTGGATCCTCAATAGCTCTGTTCTGGCTATTGCTGTGAAACCCCCTAATCAGTATGTAAAAAGAATGTCCTCATTCATGATTTTACCAAGGGTAAAAGTGTCAATCTGGCATGTCTGAGATGTGCAGGTGGGCTCAGAGGGATGTGTTCCTCTCTTGGATTTATGCTCACCTGGGTTTTGGGTTTTGCATTAACCAAGACCCGGGAGAGGATGGATTCGGGGCTGATACGCCTGAGTTTTTGAAAGCTCTCAGAGGCTGTTCTCTGCAGATAATTGATAATTGATAATTTTATGTGAGGATTTGACGGGTGGTTGATCAAAGCCTTAGTCACTGCTTGGAGAAGGCAGGTGGCTGAGTGTTTGGACTTCATTGCTTTTAGGCAATGTCTCACTGTGTCTCTCTTGCTTTGCAAGCACCTCTTTTTTTCTCATGTGACTGAATGCGTGTCAGATTGCTCATTAATATCTAGAAGGAAGGGGCTGATACGTATAGTTCTCAACAGTCGCAATTGGGATTGGAATTTATGTTGTAAGTTGGTGCGGTTGTAAGTCAAGTCAGACCCAATTTTATGACATTTTTTTTTATCCCAGTTGTTAAGCAAGTCACACGGTTGTTAAACTTCTCAAAGAACATTTTCGCTCTGTTTGTCTTTGCTGAACACAGGCATAAAAGATTGCAAATCATGATCATGTGATGCTGCAAATGGTCATGATTGCGAGCCAGTTGCCAAGCACTCAAATTGCAATCATGTGAACATGGGGGAGGTGTAACAGTTGTAAGTTCAAGTTACAGAGCGTAAGTCGCTTTTTCCAAGGCTGTTGTAACTTTCAACCATTATTAAACAAAGGGTCGTAAGTCAAGGACTATCTGTACTGCTGTGGCAAAGATGAAAATGCCACCCTTGACCCTGAATGATTTAAATCTTTGTAGACGAAGATTGCAAAGCCATGTCTTGACAGCTTTTGAAAGGATAGCTGCTTTTCTTTTATGTTATCAACAATGATGTGATTCCAGGTGCGCCCGTGCCACAGATTCCTGGATATGAGATCCAGTTTTTGAATTTGCACACTAAGGATCAGTTGGGGTCGCTATTACTAAATTAGCTTTCCTGCTACATAGGAGCTCTGTTGATAGAGTTATTTAGCTCTGAGGTAGTGGTGGAATTTCCTTCAATCTGTTTTTTTTTTCCTGGATGTGGAAGCAGAGATGGCTCACAGGCACTATGAAAACCATGGACCTTACTCAAATCATCAGTGCTCTGATGCACAGAGGAGGTTATGCCAGATCTAGTTTTTGTCTCAGGAGAAAAGTGACAAGATTTGGATATGAGGATAATTGACATTGGTCTTTTGTCATGATCAGTTGACCCTTTGATTGCTTTAGAGTTTTCCTGTGCTTCCAGCCACAGGGACCCTGTTAGGTTCCAGAGGGAACTTGGGATTGTCTCAGAGGCTCAGGGATATCGTTCAGTCTAAGTGTTAGTCATTACTTGGGATGAGTTATTATGACCTTAGACCTCATTGTGACTTGGAGGACTCTCCCAACTTGTGGTACTCGGAGAGTCTCTTGGTTTACTCTTTATCTTTTGCTAGAGGAAAAGGAGAGTGAACCTAACCAAAGGTGCTCTGAGTTGGACTTCGAGTATGCAAGTCCAATGGAATTCCTCCCGAGGGGTTTGAGCCTCTTGGTTTTAAGGAAGAGAACAGGGTTTTCAAGGCTATCAATCAGGCCCGCTTGTCAAGCCATCAAAGTAATCAAATGTCAGTAGGAAAAATACATTCTCTTCCTTCTTTTCTTCAATAAAATATTACTAACCCCTTATATTTGAAGGCAAGGTAAGAATCTGCAAAACCTTTTTTTGACCAGAAGGTTCTAGCGCATAAGTGTGCCAAAGCATCCATCTCCCTTGCTTTCTCTATTTGAACTTCTCTATTTCAGAGATAACAATTGTGTCAAATCAGAAAGACTGCTGGAAACCTTCCTTTGTTTTCTTCTAATCTAAATATTTGCTCATCTTCTATTCTGCCTGAGAAGCAAGGCAATGTGTCAGGTGTCTGATTCACTTATTGTGCCTAGTAACCTTTTGATTGATGGACTTCTTTTCTATGCTGCTAAACTAAGACAATGTTTTTGTGTGCCAGCTTTACTTACTCACTTGTTTTGCCTCTTTCAGCTCAGAGAAGAGCTTTTAACAGGGAGCAAAGATATTACAAGGTAAGATCTAAGACAGGGGTCCCCAACTCCTGGGCTGCGGCCCACAACTCAGCTTCAATCCCTTTGGAACTGGGCCACAGAAGTTGTGGGTGAGCATGTATGCACGCATCCCCGCTTGTGTGAGAAGTACACAAGCATGGGCGAGTGTGTTCCATTTGTGCGTCACTTGCGCAAATGAAGCTGAGCGTGTACACATGCTTGCCCACCACTCTTGTGGAACCATCCCCTCTTCCCCCCCCCCCACCCCCAAGCTGGTCCACAAAGCTGGAAAGGTTGGGGAACTCTGATCTAAGACACAGTCACATTTTCTGTTTTATTTAGAAAGTGTATTGAAGTATGTGAGTATAAAAGGTACTGTGCTTAGATCTAAGCCTGTACCAAAGAAAAATGCTACTGCAACATTATAAGATACAAGTATGCATTTTATTATTAGCCTGCATTTTTATGGATTGCACTTCTGTGTTTGCTATTCACTTTGCAATTGATGAAGGAACAGTTTTACCCCAGATAGGCAGAAGGGTAGACCTGGAAAATGGAAGAGCTGAAAAGCTACGATTCCATCCCAGATTTGAATATTGTTTGTTTGTAATTGAAACACAACTTGGCTGTATACTGGAATATATTAGAAGAGGCTTTCCCAATGAGAGATTCTTAGATGCTTTTGCTCTTCATTTCCTATAATCGGTAGTCAGCATGTCCAGCCCAAGTAGAAGGTGCTGTGTTTTGGATTTAGAGTACAGGTAGTCCTCGACTTACGACCACAATTGAGCCCAAAATTTATGTTGCTAAGTGAGACATTTGTTAAGTGAGTTTTGTCCCATTTTAACAACCTTTCTTGCCACATTTAGTCATTGCAGTTTTTCAGTTAGTAACACAGTTGTTAAGTGCATCTGGCTTCCCCATTGGCTTTGCTTGTCAAAATCACATGATCCCATAACATTGCAAAGTCATAAATATGAGCCAGTTGTCAAGGATCCAAATTTTGATCACGTGACCAATTGGAGGCTTCAGTGATTGTATGCGTGAAAGGTAGTCACAAGTCACTTTTTTCAGTGCCATTGTAACTTTGAATAATCACTAAATGAACTGTTGTAAGTCAAGGACTACCTATTAGCGTATTGCAGAGGTACTGAAGCATGTACTTTATTGACAGCAGCAGGGCTGAAGATTGGATTTTAAGATGAAAAGATTAAGATTTTGTTTGCCTCTTGGAGAAAGAAAGCTCCTAGGAACACGACAGAATATAAGATAGAGCTATAAAACAAAATAGTCGATTTGGCAGGTTGTGCGTTATAGTTGCCCCCATTTCCAGCCAAAATGTCCTAAATAGTGTGTTTTGCAGAGAATCTTAGCCCAAGATGGTAGAGGACCATGGGTTAATGACAACAACTTGAAAAGAAGGCAATACCAGGGGTTAGTACAACAGAAGACCAAACATTGGCAAAGATCACAGAATATCAAGATCTGAAAATCAAAATTGAAAGATCAGTTGTGGTGGTCCCAGTGGTTATCAGCATACTGGATGCCATAGCAAAAAACTTTGGCCAGCACATTGAAAAATCTTACATATTGACAAAATTTCCATCTGTCAGTTAGCTTGGATCCGCGCATAGGTTATGCTGATACATTACAACATCCTAGGTTCTTGGGAATAAGTTGACGCTGATAAGGCCAATATCAGTTGAAAAGAACTGACAACTGTGCCTTAACATTGTGTATGTAATAACAATTTATTAAATTTATTAACATGCCACCTGTCTGCATAGTGACCCTGAGTAGTTCACAATAGTTAAAAACACCCGATGTCTTTAGAGAGGTGGTGGGGTTTTTGTGTTTGGCAGTTTGATAAATTGCAGTTAAAGTCTTGATGTGAACATCCGGTGTGATGCTTTTGATCTGGTCAGTCAGATAGGTGAAGTGTGGTGCTTTTGAGGTGATGGGGCCACTGCGGTGATTGCTTTCCCTGGAACCTTGTTTATCCCTACCCCTCTGCCCTTGCAGCAAATTGGCTGTGGTGTGTGCCAGGCCTGCCAGATGTCTCAGGACTGCGGCATCTGCAGTGTATGTGTTCTGCGAGCCCAAAGCCCCAAGTTCCACATTGACATCAAATGCTTGCTACGCCGATGCTTGAAGATTGTCAAAAAGGTACCATAGGTTGCTTCCTGCTTTTCCTTCCCTTCCCTTCCCTTCCTTTTTCCTTGTTTTCTGCTGCTTTTTTCCAGCTTCGCATAGGCTTACACACGGTCTTAAGTTTTAACAGTTACCTCTTCTCCACTCTCATTCTGGTTTGCAGGGCCTTGATTGTGGCATATGTCAGGCCTGCAAGATAACTGAGGACTGTGGGACCTGTGCAATCTGTTTGCGGAGGCAAAGACCTGGCATGAAACGTCAGTGGAAATGTCTCAAGCGCCGTTGTCTCAAACGCAAGGTGTGTGTGTGTGTGTTTGATCCAACTAGTTTTGAACTTTTTTAAAGGGAGTGGTTGAAGTAGCAATAGCATTTAGACTTGTATATTGCTTTGCAGTGTTTTACAGCCCTCTCTAAGCAGTTTACAGAGTCAGCACATTGCTCCCAACAATCTGGCTCCTCATTTTACCAACCTTGGAAGGATGGAAGGCTGACTCAACCTTGAGCCGGTCAGGATCAAACTCCTGGCAGTGGGCTGAATTAGCCTGCAATACTGCATTTTAACCACATTGCACCACCACGGCTTCTAAAACAGTTATAAGAGAAAGAAAGCAACATCAGCCTATTTTATTTAGGGAGAAGTCCTTTGCAAACTGAAGTAAAAAAATTCAAGATATGACTAAGGGCATAATCTTAGAGGAAAGTTTCAACGTTTGTACTTCTAATGGATTATTAGAGGCTTGCTTAAAGCAAGAAAGCCAAATGGGAAGGACACATTTGATGTTTAGTTCTTGTTATGCAGGAATCCTAGGCCTGGCCTGGCATGAACAAAGAGTCCAGTTCTTTCTGAATCACATGATTATTCAGATCTATAAAAAGGTAGGTCCTCCCATAAAGCTGGAAGAACCCCAAGTGATTTATTCAGCATGCCTTTATAGTTTACTGGGATACACAAGCAGGAAATACAGCCGTTGGCATGAAAATAGATAAAAGTAGATAAAAAACAAATTGCTACAATGTTGTTGCTCACCAAGTACACTTAGAAAGAAGCATCTTAGCAAGTCCGTTGTGCCCTATCTGGTTTCCTGTCATGCCTCCCTGAACTATGGACAAGTTGGTGTTATTACAACTCATTTATTCTCTTTAATCCAGCTATTTCAATGCAAGACTCTCTTGATCATCATAATCCCCCTTTGATACTTGAGCAATATGGAGAAGTATCACCTCGGAAAATTTGAAGTTCAGTCGCCTTGTAGGATTTCTTAGGACAAGCCTGCATGGTTTAAGATGTATACAACAATAACAATAACAACAACAAAAAGAATCCAGAAGACTATGAAGAGTAAAGCTAAGAACATCTATGTAGGCCATCCCCACCAGGCAGCAATCCGCCAAGAAAATATCCCCAAGAATACTCCTGAGATGTCAACATCTGTGAATCTATTTGCAATCTTTCCCATGAGGTGAATAGTATGATTAACACCTAATTGATAATTAGAAATATAGTAAGCATGTATAAGTGCACAACTCCCTGTCCCCCCCTTTTTTTGTTTATTGCTAACGCAATGTCTACAGTATGCTGGTTCTGGAGAACAACCTCCCTAATCTCATCGTGTTCTTTATTTAGTTGGGACATACTCTGTATGATCAAATTAAGCATACTCTCTGCCCAGTTGCCCGGTTGTATAATAGATCCGTAATTAAGTTCTTGATTCCAGTATCATATGTTTCATAGTTGAAAAGGTTTTCCTGAACTGAATCCTGCACCAAGGTACACTTATTGCAGATCCAGTGGTTCCACTCTTTCTGGTATATTACTCAAACGGGGGATAACCATGCCCACTGTGCAAATTTCAGACCAGAAAGGTGACAAATATTTATAAGCACGCTTACCACATCAGAGCCACCAATTGGGATACGAGCAGCTCAGCCGGCTGTGGTTCTCAGCATCTATATTTTCATATGCAACAATTCCCATAGAGTGCCGATGAAATTGCATAAAATAGAAAGGTGGAGATCAGTATTTGTCCCAAAGGCCTTATACCATTTTATTCAATCGGTCTAATGACCGGTAGTATTGGCCACCCAAAAACTGTACAGTCCCACTGCTCATAAGCTTCCAACTTTGCCTTTGAGCTAGGATTTGAACGTTTCAGGCAGACAGCAGAACCATCTTGGATTCGTGCTCCAAGTTTAATAAGAGTCTGTTTGTTTGGGTGGGAACGTGGGTGCAAATCCAGCACTCAGTAACATTTAAGATTTTTACCCAGATTGTGGATATGCATATTATCACTCCACAATCCCAATGATGGCACAGGGTATTGTTCGCCTCTTTGAAGGTGGTCATATTCCTGTGTGTGAACTTGGAAGGTATCAATAAGTCTAGGTTGGGCTTCATCCGTCTTGGCTTCTGAGGCTTTTATGGCATTGTCTCTTCATGTATTTCTCTTGGGTCCCCAGAGAGGGTCAGAGAATCCTGAATATCCTTAATCACCTCTATGTCTATATCCCAATCATTTTCAGTCCCAGTCCCAGAGCACTCATAATCCCCACCCACCTACCCCGGTAGAGAAAGAAGACAAAGAGAAAGATGGAGACAAAGAGGAAAAAATAGGAGAGGCCATGGAGCACAAAGAAAAAGAGGAGGTAAATGACAGTAAAGAGCAAAACAAATCTGTATCAAGAGAAGAAAGAAGGACCAAAAGCACAAAAGTCCCTGGGCTGATAAGAAGCAATATAGAGCATTCAGCTCACATCACACAGCATCCTGAAATGAACCAACAACCACAGTGGTGTTTGGACGTATCACAACTCAAAGTTCATCATCAGCATGGAAAGAAGATGCCTTCAGATAGGTGTGATGAATCCAGGTCTAGACTCAAGTAACCAACCTACGGGTGGTGAGAAGAACAATATAAGGTCCCTTCCATTTTTTGGACAAAGGATTGCTGGAATGCCATGAGTTGACAAGAACCTAATCTCCAGGGCAGAATGAGTGCACTAAGCTACCCAGACCGGGAGGACAAACAGTATTAAACAGCTTCAGAAATGGAAGAAACATTGTTAATCAGAAAGTGAACATATTCTCAAAGGACATGGTCCCTGAAAGTGTCCGTAACTCGTGAATCGGGGAAGTTTCTTACCATCTTTCTGTCACCAATTCCCCCGTAAAACAGCACTCATTTTATGAGCTGTGCCTATCCTGAGTAGAAAGATACAATATAGGTAATTGGGAAGGAATGAGTGCACATACCAAGGGGAAAGGACCTGAAGCAGCAGACTTTGCAGTGAAGTCAGCAAAAGCATTACCTCTGCCATGTTTATTGTTATCCTTACATGCATCTTACTTGGAAGCAGGATGAATAGGGAGACAGTTGCGAGAGGGCCAGGAGACATAAGGATTTTTTTTTTTAAAAAAAACCCATTTTAGTCCATCTTTATTATGACATGTATGATTCTATACTTTTTGCCTTTCAGAATTTCTGCTGTTCTATTTCTGGACTACTTAGGCACTGAGGCATTTTCTTTCGATATTGTTGTATATAGTGTTATTCCTAATTGTGATCTTTGGTTTGTTTGGAATGAACCATTATTGGGTCCTCTAGTCTAAGAATACTATTAGTATGAACCAGATGGAGAATGCTCAAGTATATTATATTGCAATTCTGAAGGGGAATAAAAGTGTATATGGGGCTAAAATAGGTGTTGGCCTCCTGAAGCTCTTTGCTTTTATTTATAAAGATAAGAGATATGAGTCTAATTTATATTGAAAAACAGGAAGTCAGAGAAGAACTAAATTATTCATGAATATTTTCTATACAAGGCCTATTGGACTTAATATAACTGGTTATCAAGTAGTGGCAATATAACTGCAACCTCAGTTATGATTTTCAGAGTCTGAGGATAAATCGTTGATGCCTGGTGTATCTTTTTTTTAGTAACTAGAACATTGTAAATATGGTGGTGCTTGTTTGTGAACCCTATTAAATTTCCAATATTCTTGCATAAATATGATCTAAAATGCGATCTGTTCTCCGCATGTCTTAAAATTAAATAAACAGAACTCAATTAAGCAAATGAATCAAAAACAGTACACTTATCCATTTATATATTGAGCAAAATGATCCAAAGCTACATATAAACAGTCCTGATGTTCTTTTTTATGGACATCCAAGGGGAAACTACAATTGCTTGTCAAGTATACCAAGATGGAGATAAAATTTCTGCATGCTGGCTGGTTCCCTTTTCTCTGAAACACGCAGGCATAAAAAGAATCTTGGGCTATATAATCAATCCTTAAGGAAGAGTTATGTAAGGAACATTCTTTTAGGATATATAAACATCATTTTCAATTGTTGTTGCATTTGATATGAGTTTTAAAATCTGAGGGTGCCTGTGAATTCCAATATAACAATTATTTTGTGTGTTCTAATGTCTTTCTCCTGGATCTGCAAAAATCTTTGCTCTGTATGGAAATGTTCAGGAAATGTAAGAATGTGGCTGCATTAACTGGAAATGCTCACAGCTAGCGAACGCATGATTTTATCCTGAACTTGAGATCTCTGGTCAAAGACCCCAATGAATACAGATTCCCCAGGAGTGATTTCTAAAAAAATAAATGTATCTGAGATGTATGTTAACTCTGTCACTCTAGCACTAAATGACTCTTGATCCTTCTAGAAAAAAGTCTCATCCAAGAAGGACAGCTGCAGCTCGAAGAAAGTTTCAGCAGTAAGTACCTGCTGTGTGACTTACTGGGGCTTGGCATTTGCTTGCTTTCATTCCACTTCATTCCATTTGGTCTTTTTCTCCTCTGAATTGCTTGCATGGTTTTCTATCACTGCAAACTCCCAAGATGGTTTTTTTTTTTAACAAATTAGCAGCAAGAGACTGACAAAGCAGGAACAATGCTACATCCTGGCAAACAGGATTATAAAGGGAACTCTTTTTCTGCCAAGCCACAACATCGCTTTTCATTGTGGAGTGCTTCTTAGTTCATAGTGCCTGTGCAAATTGGAATATGGCATGTAGCGTGTCAGAAAGTGGCTTTGTGCATGGCTTTCCGTCTTTGTTTTGGGGAACAAACCCGTGCAGTGTGCGCATCTGTGCGTAGAATTTCTCTTTAACTTGCTACAACTTTGCCCTGCGTTTCTCGGTTGCTCCCAGGAATCTTCAGCAAAGAATGTCTTCACCCCAAAACAATGTGGGCAGAAAAAGCCAACTTTAACCACAGTGAGTGGCACTAGTTCTTCATGCAAATAAAAATGACAGTTAATGTTCCACAGGGATCTGGGTCTCCACTCCCAGCTCTGCCCTTACTTATATATGTTCATACTGGAAGCAGACCAGTTTATGAGGTGGAATTAATTTCAAGGATGATAAACGCTGGAAGCTTGTTGCAGCGCTGTAATGTAATATTTGGACCAACAGGAGCTTGGTTTCTGTGTCCTTCTCTGCCTTAGGTGAGGCACATTTCTTTAATCTAACATTGGATACTACAAAGTTCTTGGGAAATAATTATATTGAATCTGACTAATAATGAACCTGGAGCTAGAAGTTCTTCAGTTTTGTGTGTCTTTATCTGTTCCTTGTTTTCTCTCTCCTCTGTTTGTCACAATAAGGGAAGGGAAGGGAAAGGAAGGAAGTTAGTTGCTCCTGTTCCTGATGGCATTTTGCCTGCCCTTGGTCATTCTGTTTTTTGTTTGTTTGTTTAGGTAAGGAAATATCTCTGAAACGATGACCCAAACAGTATGGGTTTCTAGTTCTTTATAAACTCTCTTTATAAAGCTGCTAGAATTAGGAAAAGGGGTCTCACATTGTAAGGCTTCTAGGTCAGTATGGAATGCAACATTACATATCTATATCTATATCTATGTATGGCATTCAGCTTTGTTCGGGTATTTTCCCACGTCATTGTAGTTGTGCTTTTAAAGTTGTAGCAACGTTTCGGCAGAATCTCATCTGCCATCATCAGGCTTCTGTATAGTGTTCGTCTGTGAGTCAGACTTTTACAGTTGTTTCAATTTTGAAACTGAAACAACTGTAAAAGTCTGTCTCACAGACAAACACAATACAGAAGTCTGATGATGGCAGATGAGATTCTGCCGAAACGTTGCTACAACTTTAAAAGCACAACTACAATGACGTGGGAAAATACCTGAACAAAGCTGAATGCCATACATACATACATACATACATATATTTGAAACCATCAGCACACTATTAACCTGATGAAAAGATTGAAGATTTCTTATACAGATGTTTCAGGCAGGGTTCTTTTCAATATCTTTGAGCAATTTGACTATCTTCACTCTCATTTTCTTTGCTGTCTTCATTTCTTCGGCTGTCAGGGTAGGCCATTTCTAAAGGCTCACTTGGCCTCAGGCCAACCCCACCGGAGGCAGTCTGCTACCCCAGTAAGTGGCCTGCATTCCTGCTGTATTAGGCTTGTACTATAATATAAATTGCCTTACATAAAATCTATAATTTATGTTTGTGGGTTGAGCAGAATTGAATCACAACATATGCTGTACTCATTTCAAAAGATAAAATAATTCAGAATTATTTTTTTCTAATGTTATTCAGAAGGTTCAGTTGTTAAATTTGGTAATTGGGTGGAACAAATACGAGTGGAAGAGCAATTGAAAATGCTTTTTTTCTGAACTAAGTGCAATAGATGGGGTATTTTTAATATAATTATAAAGAATTTTTTTCTCATTTTAATTTCTTCTTATTTAGAAATTAATTTGCCCCATTTACTCATGGATAAAATTTTGAAAAACTCGTTTTCATTGATGTTAAAAGAAAATGTGTTTGGTTAACTTACAGGAGTTAGGGAAGGCAGCTTAGCCTTACTTCAGTCCTGTCTTTCTGTCCACTTCTCTCTTTTTTTTGCGGGGTGGGGGGGTTCGTTTATGGATGTCTCATATATTTCCACTTAGATCACAATTTCCAATTGCTAATTCCATCACTTGTTCTGTCCTGCTTTCTAATTCTAGAAATTGAAACCTACCATTCAAAGGGATCCTGGAGGCAATCCTCTTGTAAGGCATCGGGTATGTATGCTATAAGGGAAAAATACATAGCAAATAGGCTGGTTTCTCTTGCAGATTGAATAGTAAATATTCCTGTGGCGTAGTGCTTAGGGATACTCAGATCCACTTGGACTCAAGGATCTTGAATGCTTTCTAGTGAAGGAATTATAAAATAGAGCTATCTGCAGTTATCCTACTTGTACTATATATTTTTACTCCTTTGAACAGAGATAAAATGTTCTGGCCTTTTCTAGTTTGGTGAAGAATGAAGTTATTTCAGTTCAAAATGTTGAAAGTATATTTCAATCTGCTCCTTTAGAAATTATAATACCAGAACATGTTTCCCCAAAATGGGAAAAAGAAAAAGAAAGATAGAAAGTGTCAGTGTTCTTCAATGGAGAATGCTGAAGTAAAGAGCATTTCAGTACAGCATAATCTGGGATCTGAGGCTGAATTATTTTTGACAGGTTTGGAGAGAAAGCAATATGACAATTCTTGAAATAACATTTGATCTGGTTTGCTCTCTTATTATTTAGATGTATATGTGATTTAGGTTTAAGGAAAGACAACTCTTGTGTGTGACAAGTATTGCATCAGCTCCAACTAACTCACTCATTTGGATTTTTTGTGTGTTCTGACTGAAACTGAAAGAAGTTAGTATTGTAGAAGGATTCAGGTAGTTTCATAGAGCAATTGGTGGGACTTAAGATACCTAGAGTGACTGGACAATGTAGTGATTAGAGTGTCATCTGGAACATGGGAGACTGGGGTTTGAATCCTGGTTGATACCTACATTACTGGTAGTCTCTGGAAAAAGACCCTTGAATGTTTCATCTTCCTACCTCAGATATGAGAATTAGGTAAATTAGAAGAGTCACACTGACTCCGATGTTGCCTGGATTAATACAATCTGTGTCATATGTTGAGGAACCAGGACAATCTGATAATTAAGTGGGCTACTGGAACAAACTATACTTGGGTGAGACGAGAACCACAGGCGAGCCAGCTGCTAACACGAAGTTCTTATCCAGAGTGGCTAACATAAAAAGGACACTGCTGATTATGAAATACCCTCTCTTCCAAGGGAACAGTACCACTCAACTGCCAAACAATAACCAGCTTCCCCACAACATGGAAAATCCTATCAGGCATCATAGCTGCCAAGTTAACAGGACCATATGGGCCAGTACATGAACACAGCTCAGAAGGGCATTGAAAACAATACTAGAAGTTCAAAACACCAGTTGCTCATAGATAGAACAATCACCCAAACTCAAGGTCTAGAGAGACCAATCTGAGAGCAGCCTCAATTGACTACCGGAAAGCTTTGGACTCAATGCCGCACACATGAGTCTGTAAATTCCTTGTGCTATATAAAGTCAACATAACATTAAGGACCTTCTTCAAGAACTCAGTAGGACTGTTGAGACAACACTGGAAATCAATTCAAGAAAGCTTGCACAAGTGATCAAGTATGTCATGTATCAAGGTGATGCCCTGTCCCTGCTGCTGTTCTGCACAGGCTTGAACCCGCCTCAGCCAAATAATCACAGTGACTGGATATGAATACAAGTTCAAGAGTGGAACTACCATTGGCCACCTCCTCCATATGGATGACATAAAGCTCTGTGCTAAGAATGAATAAGATATCAACTCACAGATCCACCTGACTTTGAGCTACAAGGAGGACATTGGGTGGTCATTCGGAGAAGTGGCTGGATCATAGTAAAGAAAGGGAAGATGGTTAAGACTGTAGTGAGGCTACCAGTGGGCCATATGGCAGACATATAGATCAGCTCCATGTACATTGGTATCCCTCAGTGATATCACAATGAGGAGTCAAGGAAAATAGCAACGTCCAAGTACCATCAAAGATAAGACAGGTTATGAAGAGCCAGCTCAATGTGAAGAACAAGATCCACGTCATCAACACTTGTCATCAGATATTCTGCCAGTAGGCCAAAGGAGAGTATGGTAGCTGGCTATGTTGAGACCTGGAAGCTCTTCACAATCTATGGAGATTTCCATCCCAACTCAGAGACTACGTCAGATTGAAAGAGGTGAGCTGGGTCTAGTAGTCCACAATCTTGGATGAAACTCAGAGCATCCAGGAATACCTCCGTAATATTTCACCAAAGATAAGCTGCTGAGAGAATGCCTGAGGCAGAAGTAGATCAACTGGAGGAAGTGTCAGGGCAACACAAGACCATGCATGGGATGTATAATTTACGGATAGTGTGATGGCTGACATTGGAAAATTCTACCAGTGGCTGGAAAAGGCTGGAGTGAAAGACAACACAGAGGCACTGATATTAGCAGCACAAGAGCAGGCACTAAGACGCCATATCCAGAGAAGCAGGGGCCTACTACACTAAGGACCCAAGGTACAGACTCTGTATCTACTAAACAGCAGCACCAAGTAGCCTGGCATTGTAAACAGGAACATCTGCACAGTGTATAGCCTAGACCCTCCCAAGCCTGATGGAAGATTCCACAGTAAGTCATGGAGAATGACAGGGATAAGATCCTGTGTGATTTTACAGTTTCAGATAGGTAGGCAGGTAATGGCCAGTCAAGCAGACATCGTGATAGTAGACAAGGGGCAGAAAACAGTGATGGTGAGAGATGCAGCAGAACCAAGTGACAGTGACACCAGGAGGAAAGAATATGAGTAGCTGGAGAAGTATATGGGCATGAAGGAGGAGTTCGAGGAACTAGGATTTGGAAAAATAAAGGCCAAGTTGGTATCATTGGTACTAGGCATACTTGGGACTATGACTCCTAAGCTGGGAGAGAGTGGCTCCAGCAGGTCTTAGGAACAACAGTGTTAGGAACGGCTAAGAATAGCCAGGGTACGGTTGCCAACTGTTAAGAAGAAGAGGCATCCCAGTGTGCTGTACCTGAATCTAAAACGGCCCTTTTGTTTAAAATGAATATTAAAGGGGGAGAGGGAAGTTATTATCCGCAGAACATATTCTGTATTCCTTTGTGTCTGCATGTGTGTGTGGGGGAGATGGAGGCCTTTCTCCCCCTTTTTCTCAGTGGGACTGTGGGTTTCTCTAGGAACAAAGGAAGTGCTTTATAATCTAGCAATTTGCTTTGCACTATGTCCGTTTCCCATTGACCTTTTCCTTTTTGAAAGAATCAGAACACAAAATAAATAAAATAGCATGTGTTAAAGCAGGGTTTTAAACTATCTTGCAGGCTAAGAGATTAGAAAAGTCAAAGAGAAAGTTCAAGGGCAACAAAAAGGGGTTTTGTTCAGAAACAATGAATCTGAAGCGTGAGCAGTGGGCTCTCACAGAATTTGATACTTAAATTGTGTTACTTAAATTGTGAGGTTGCTCGTTCGTTTCCCATTAAGCATCTTTACTCTTTACCTCCAATCCAAGATTCTTTCTTGGAAGCCATATTCAGATGGCCTTTAATTTAGCTGGCTATTACAATTACTTCTCTCTTTTGCTCTCTGAGAGTAATTTTTCCTGGAAGGAAAAAAAATCTTTTGTTGTTGATTCGAAACAAAAATCTAACTATAAACAAGGCTTTGTTCTTCAAAATCAGTTACCTTATACAGGTAGTCCTAAACTTAAAACCATTCATTTAGTGACCAAAGTTATAATGGCACTGAAAAATGTGATCATTTTTCAAACTTTTGACCATTGCAGCATGCCCATGGTCAAGTGATCAAAATTTGGATGCTTGCCAACTGGCATGTAATGGTTGCAGTGTCCCAGGGTCATGTAATCACCTTTTGTGACCTTCTGACAAGCAAATTCAGTGGGGCAAGCCAAATTTGCTTATCAACTTAACAAGTTAGTAAGTTAAGTTACTAACTTAAAAACTGCAATGGTTCACTTAATGACTGTGGCAAGAAAGATCATAAAATGGGGAGAAATACACTTAACGGTGTCACTTATCAACAGAAATTTTGGGCTCTGTTGTGGTCGTAAGTCAAGGATTAACTGTACATGATTAAAATCTAGATAGTATTAATAAAAGGCGTCAAAATCACTGCACTGCTCCATAACTCTTCTTGGAATCCTCTTTCGTAATTAGTCCTTTACTCATTTCATTTGGCTATGCTATGATACAAGGCATGTAATGCTGGGTCTTTTTTGTACTTCAAAGTACACCACACAAACCGCAGAGAGAGTCTTTCAGTGGGAGAAGAACGCCGCAATGTTTTCCAACTTTCTGAACTAAAAATGTCTTGGGGAACAAGTAAGAATTTCAAGTCCTCCCAGCCACTAACTTATGTTGGGTTCCTCCCAACAGAAGAAGCAATTGGGAGTGGCGAAAGAGAGGAAGAAAGTGGGCCATCCTCCCAAGCATCCTGTGACTAAACTCAAGGACAGTGTGGTAAAATGTGTTTCTTTCTTTGGTTTTTGGATTTATCTGGAACATGGCCAATTTTGAGTTAACAGGTTGGGCAAATGGGTTAAATAGATGAAGTCATTAGCTGATGAGGACTAGGTGAATCCACTACAAAGTGAATCCACGCCCCCAGGTGAAGTGCAAAACAGATTCTTTATTGGGATCCAATGGGCTATGAGGAACCAGAGTGGGAGGAAGGAAAGTGAGTAGCTATTGAACTTGCTTTATAGAGTTTTGTAAGTCTGTCACTCTCCAAAGAGGCAGAGACAGCAATAAAATGATCTAATTTCAACAATCTTAGAACAACAATTCTTGACAAATACATAACATAAGAAAGAAAAGGAAGATATGAGTGTACAGAGTAGACTCCTACAGTCCTTGGAGGTTGTCACTTTTTATCTTAATATTTAGGTGATTCTTTCAGGTAGCACCCTATGGTTATAGTAGACCAACTAGTATGTTCAACCAGTTGAATTTACATAATTCTGAGCAGCTAAAACTTGATATGAAGGTCTGTGATCTTATCTCAGTGATCACTGGTATAACTATAGCAAGTAAGGAATATTGCAGCTATCTTCTTCAGAAATACAGATTTGAATCTCTGTTTCTTGTTAGACTGTAAGCTATGTTGGTCATTCTGGGTCCAGGGAACAATTTCCATTGCCTTGATTTTCTAAAATTTACTATAACTGGCTTCATAATTTAAAAATTCCTGCAATATACAAGATTTCTGAAAAAGAATAGAGTTGATTGAATTGCCTATGGAGATTCTCAGTCATCCAGGTCATGGTTTCCCAAAAGTACTATTTTAAGAGGCAACTGGGCTTTCTTTGTTTTTCCTTGAAGACGTTTCGCTTCTTATCCATGCAGCTTCTTCAGTTCTGGACTTCTTAAATGAGAAGTGAAATGTCTTCAAGGTGAAACAAAGAAAGTCCAGCTGCCTTTGGGACAACCATGGCCTGGATGACTGAGAATCTCCATAGACATTTAGTTATGCAAGTTGGTTGAATTTTTTATGCTTTGATTGCATTTGAGATAGATTTATTTCCTAATTCTCACATAGTACAGAGTTTATGAACGGTTATGCTTTTTAGAAATAACTGGATTATTTAGCCACTGTCCTAGGCTTTGCAGCATATACTTCCTGGCTTGATAGCTCCCCTTTTCTCCTTATAGCATTCCTCTAAAAATCAGCAAAACCGGAAGTGTGGTCAATGTGAAGCCTGTCTGCTGAAAACAGACTGTGGCCATTGTGATTTCTGTTGTGACAAGCCCAAATTTGGAGGGCAGAACCTGAAGCACCAGAATTGCCGGTGGAGACAGTGTCTGCAGTTTGCAATGGTTGGTGCACCTCCTCATTTGTTTTATTGTGTTCTGTCTATCACCACTTTGCTACTTGCTATCAATAGAGAGTTCTTTTCATTGTATACTATGTTGTAAGCCATGTCATACTTCTCTATGCTACGTGTGGGTATCAAGTGCTCCTACTAACAAAGGCTTGTAGGTCTTGTTGCAGTAGGTGCATTTTGTTCAGAAGCATGTTGCCTAATTGTCAGATCTAATGCCTATATTGTCAAGATTGATCAACTCAGGTTTCTTTATTCCAGGGGTGGGCAGACTGAAATTGATTGTTTATAAATACCTCCTGGAGATGAATAGCAGATTCGAATTGATTTGTGTTTGAAATGTTTTGTTTTAGGGTTGATCTGGTGGCAGTGACAAAATAACACAACAGGAAAAAGCCATAATAATTTATTTTCCCTTGTCATTAGATCATTTCCTGCATTAACGTTGCCAGACAATATTAAGTGTGTTATAGGGAATGCAGTCAGTAATTCTACTATTTGTGTTCCTGTTTTAACCCAAACAGTATCTTTGATCACATGCACAAAGGGAGAATATGCACATTGATTAATAGTGGTGGACTTCAAGCAGTACTGCCACTGCATGCGTTTCCTGTGGTTTATATAGATTGATCACATGAATTTGAAGGAAGTGAGGATTTATTCATTTATTTTATTTTCTTAACATTTTTGAACCACCCATCTCTCTTGGGGAGATGCTCTGGGCAGTGTACATTAAACTGTTAAAATATAAAAACACTATCTAACAATTATGCATTTAGATAATGTAGAATTTAAAAGGAGTCAAAGATTATTAAAATCTGTTAGAAATTAATTAAAAAGATAAAGAGAAGGCTCTCAGAACTCCAATCAAAATGGGACAGAGACAGTTCCATAGGTAGCCTGGCCCCATGCCTTGTAGGGCTTTATAGATCATAATTGACACTTTGAATTGGATCTAGAAGCAAACTGGCACCAGTGGAATTCTTTGGATCAATACTTTTTATACCATTTAAGAGTGTATGTCTTTCTTGATAGACTAAAAGCTACTGTGGGAGAAGAATAAATTTTACCTGTCAAGATTTGAGATTGATTTGAAGGCTACAAGACATACAAAAGAAACTGATGTCTTAATGATTATAAGCGATGTACAAATAACAAATTAAAAAACTAAGAAAGTGACCTGGATAATTTTCCTATATTGGATTTATAGGTTTGTTAAAGCTTTGAAGAATTTTGTGAGAAAGGGCAAAGAAAAAATAAAAAAAATCAAATTCTAGACACTATTTAAAGGAATATTGTTGTTTTTTACTTCCAGCTTCACTTTGTCCTGCACTGGTGGGGACTCTCTGAGTTTGGTCACACTTCTCTGGATTTGATTTGTAGGGTCTTTCTTTTAGATATAACAAGCTTTGCTTCTTTTACATCCAGGACTTCCTGCTATGAAGCAGTCCCTGCTGATTTGGCATGGTATGATTAAATGAATGCATAAAATGGCTTTCAAAATAGTCCACTTTTCTTTTTATTGATGCAAACTCTTGAAAGATTGAAATTAATCATTTTTGCAGCAGTCAGTAGACACTGCCCAGTTCAATGTGTTTCGAAGAGCAGGAATTATGCTTGTCATTCAAATTTAATGTTCAGATACATATTATGGCCCAGTGTGGTACCAGCTTCATAATTAATCAGGAGCTATGATTTATATTCTTGATGCTTTTTTAAACACTTTATTCCCTAATTCAGTTATAGGAACACAAACTTTAAAAAATTAGATTAAAAACTTCAGAATTTTTTTTTTTTGACAGGTTGCCTGACTAATAAGATTTGGCTCAATAAATGAGGAAATGGAGATATTTGTGTTGCAACCGATCATTCCAGCTTCTATTCAGAGTTTTCATTTTGATGGACAAAGCTCCATTCTTCAGTTGAAGGATATAAATGGACATCTCAAAGAGTTATATTTGTTTTGGAACTTAATTTTGTTATCAGTAAAACAGAAGAAGGAACCATGGAGTTTTATTTCTTTTGTAAGTTAGGTTTGTTTTCAATAAAACAGAATAAGGAACTGTTGGGCCAAGTCATCTTTATAGTCTTTTCAGTTAGCTGTTACCAGTGCTATAGATATTAATGAATTTCATTCATTAAACACAATTGAGGGGATTGACAGATTAGGCTGTGCCAAATTTGGGTTTTTAATGATCTGTTGATGTATGAACCCAACTATATGTGATTTCTCTAGAAGATTTTGTGCAGATAAAGCCTACTTGCTTTTGACTCTACCTTGTGGTGTCTTAAATCTGACCTTGGACAGACAATAAAATATTTCCCTTGTTTGTTTAATAAACCTTATACAGTGGAACCTCAGGTCATGAACACTCCTGTTCATGACCAAATTGATTTTCCTGTTCGCGACCACCTGATTTCAAAAATCAGGTGGTGAACAAAATCGGTACAAATTTCTGTGCCAATTTCCCCTTATGCCATTTTTTTTTACTGCATGCATGCACAGTTGGTCATGCTTCTGGATGACTGGAATACAGGTCTCTTCCTGTATTTTAATCTGTATTCAGATTAATCTGTATTCAGATTAAATATCTCGCTCCAGAACTGGCAATACTATAATACAGTCAAATCTTCACAGGATTAACCAAAGAACATTATGTTAAGTGGCATAAATATTATAAAGAAAGCAGCTTGACCAGTTGTTTCAGCGCAGTTCTTATTCCTGAATGTAGCCAATATTTAGGTTTGGAGAAAAATTTCTTTTTTTCAAGCAAGGATTTTACTTACCAAGGTTAACTCAAGTTTCTTCCTTATGGAGAAATGAATTCAACACCCATTTATTAGACTGCAATGGTGGGCTTTTTAACTCTGAGCTAAATAGCTGTAAAGTTTGAAAGTTTTAAGAATTAAGGAAGAGCCAGCAGGAAAGAGTTTGCTGTCTTGAACTTAGACCACATAGGATTTTTATGGGGGTTTTTTTGAGCAAGCCGATCATATAAGTGTTAGTGGCTTGGGTTATAACTTGAGTTGGCTACTTGGAAATGTTTCTTTTTGCACACGTGCTAAACAGTTTTAATCTGCTGAGAATAGAAGGCCTAGATTCTTGAAATGATAAATTCTTTACATTATGAAACATCTGCACCTGGCAGGATTTTAGAATGGTTGTTTGCCTGCAAGACTAAGCATTGTATAAGCTACATCCATAGTTATAAATGAAATGAGTAAGCAGCAACATAGAGGAAATGCAAAAAGAGATGCATGGACGCTTAGATATCTGCAAAGATGAATTGGATACTGTCGTCTTTTTCTTCAGCCATAGAGACGGAGAAACCCAGAGAAGTACTTGAGCAAGGACATATTTTTCTAAATAATCTGTTGTTTTACGACCCGAGTTGTGTTTGATATTCCATAAACTTTGCCCTGGGTGGCTTTGCGTTGATATGTGTTTGATCACTAATCCTGACTTTATTGTCTCACTCATTTGCTATCCTACATATAAACAAGAGATCTGTTCCAGTCCATGATAAAAATAAAGACAAATAGTTAGCTGTTTTGAAAGATAGATGAGTTGGAAGAAAGAAAACGGGCATGCTATCTAAGTATTTACAGAAAAAGACAAAGAACTGTAAAAGAAAAATACCATGGAAGGCTACTTCTGGCTTTTGTTTAAAAACAAAATTAGTCTTCTACTATTCTTATTTCTATTATTCTTAGAAAACTAGTTCTATTTCTACTATTCTTAGAAAGCCATTCTTATCTTTAGCAACAGAAACTGAGAACTTCTATTCCACATCTTTGTTGTAAGAGTGGCATAAAACTTGCAAATTAAAGAGCTTGTGTACAAGTTCCCTCACAGAGTGTGTTACAAGTTTTGGGGAAAGATTTTCTTTTAGAAATAGATGTTTTATCTAAGAAATTTTGTGGTAATTCTATGGAGAGCAGAGGAATATTGATTGTTGGCTATAGATTTCAATTTTCAGTTCAGTCTACGGCATTTACTGTCTTTATTATAAGATTAGGGTATTGATTGCCCGTCTAGAGAAGAGACATTAAGGATGCTTTACCAGTCTGAACTGTTTGTGAACTCTAATCCAAATTACCCATCTGAATCCTGCTTTCTAACTTGGAATTGCAGGCAATTTGCAATGGTCAGGAATAACAACAACAACAACAACAACAACAACAACAACAATATAGTTTATAGGGTGCTGCCTTGATGTAGCAGGGGGCTAAACTGCTCCAATGAAGCTGAGAGCTGTGCTGGCAGCAGGTCCAACCATGTCAGAGAGGTCTCGGCCGAGGAGCAGAAATGAGTGCACCCAACAACCCATGCAATAAATCATGGTGAAACACAACCAAGTGAAGCCTATACCGGTTCGGTTGTTGCCTGGGTTAACAAGGACCGTGTCAGGTGTTTGGGAACCTGGGCATCCATTGACAAGTGGGCTACAGGCCACGGTTCCCATAGCTGAGCAACCAGGGCATGCGCCTGCAGGGCTACTGGAAGTTGAACAACCTCAGAAGCGGCAGAAAAACACTATGTCAGAGAACCGCACTGTAATGAAGTGCTACTACAAAGCAGAACCAGAAAAATGAGGCTACCAAAAAAGGATGTACAAATTATGGAAACAAGAATATCCAAACTCAAGGATAACTGGATTACGATTAGCCGATCAGTGACGATTCATCACTCGGAACGAAGTGCTCAGTAAAGTCGAACTTGAAGAAATACGGAAAAATTGTGAAATGGGAACACAGACTATTGAACAGCAGACTGCTGAAATGGCAGCAGAAAATACTCCAATAATTTTTGGAGCAACTGAACAGCCTGAATTTGAAGAAAATGCAGATATTTTGCAAGAACAGGAACAGCAAGGGCCTGAAGTCACCATTGAAACACCAGGAGTACTCAATGCCAGGCAGCAAGAACTGAAAACTAAAATCTTGGCACATGCTGCATCAAATTCAGAAAGAAGAAGGCTTCCAACCTTGAAG